TAATATGAATTTATAGCCTTAAAGCTCTTTTTGAAGATGAACACCGTGTCACATTCAACTCCCCAATTTCCCACTGCTTACCGACAGAAGCATGTGACGGTCTCCTCGACGTCCAACGGCAGCGACAGTGGTGCCGCTGGTCCGGCCCCAGTGCCACCTGCACCACCTGCCGCACCAGCACCACCACCCCCGCTGCCACCACCCGGGGCACCACCACCTGCTCCATTGGCATTCTGGCGCGGCACTGCCCGTCCGGGAATGTGGCGCGATGAGGCGTGCAGGAAGGTGGCGGCGAAGGTCGACGACAGTGAGGAGTGCGACGCCGAGGGGCGTGGCGTGGAGGCGGTGGGCGTTTGGGGGGCCGTCGAGGATCCATCGGTGGCATCCGCCAGGGGAACCGACGAGTAGCGGACAAGGATCGCACGGCTCACCCGATTGCCGCCCGTGAGATTCGAGATGGCCCAGTTCATGGCCTCCTCCGGATAGAGATGCCTGGATGGGGAACCGAAACTGGGGAACTAACCGCTTCCGCCGCTCGACTGCAACTGAGCTGTTGGCCAGGCCAAAAGGCAAAAGTAGGGTGATGGGTGGTGCAAGTTGCAACCTTCTCCGCACATACTAAATATACACAATCTTGGGTTGCAAAAAATTGATTTTGTCTAGTGATTTCAGCCCAGCCACGCCCCACAACTTTGCAATCGGCCTGGCTAGCTAGCTGGATGGCTGTCTGTCAATCAATGAATTCCCTCTAAGGCTGCAAATGAAAAAAAAAAAAAATGGCCAAGTGTCGCCTTTTCTCTATCGTTATTTATGCCTTTCCCCACTTGCATTTGTTTTACACATTTTTGTTGCAGTTTATTTGTAATTTTCCTTTTTCCTGCACTTGCACCCGTTGCCGGCTAATTCAATTAGAGTTGTGCTAAGTGCGCTTCAAGGCTGTCGGAATGCACACGTCGTCGACGGAACAGCGAGGGTTGCTAATGGGGTATACTAAAAGTTTACGAGTGCTCGCCTAAAATTACCTTATGCACACACCATATTTACACCTGAGCGAAAATTCAATTTCCTGAATTAATTGTCAAAGGCAAGGAAACCTAAATGAACTGGAATGATTGCCATTTAAATTATTTAAATTCAATTTCGTTATTCTAGATCAAGATGCGTTCTTGAAAAGAAAAAACATTTTAAATTAATAATAATTTATAATGCTTTTTCTTTTCAAGTTTAAAATTTACATATATTATTTTTTGTTACATTATTAGTTAGAAATATATTTACTAAAATATGCTTTGATTAAGATAACTAATCATTAAAAAATGTTTATTCTTAAAAGGAAATTTCTTATTAGGTTTGTAGAATGTAGTTGTCGCTTTCTACAATTTTGACAGAATTATATTATTAATAGGTTAATGTTTGTTTTTTTTTTAATTTAGGAAAGAATGTTTCATATTTCATTTCAAAATAATCAGGACTATCCTAATTTGCAATTTTATATTTTTCTTAATTTTATTGAATGATGCAAAAGAAATCTTGAGGGTATATTTTTCCCAGTGGAAGTAAAAACCCTCCTCGCTGGAAGAAAATCGATAGCTTTTCTCTTGCCACATTTTTAATTGTTATGCCTGCTCTAATGAAGCCCCGCTCCATTGGAGGGCGATGACGTCCAGCCCAGTCCACCCAAAAAAAAAAAAAAAAGAAAAAGAAAAAACCCTTCCTCCAGATATCTCCGCACTCGTATGATGTTGTCCTCCGTTGGCAGAGCCATCAACTGATGTGTACTTTTCCCTTTTTTTTTGGTGTATGGGGTGTGACATGTGACACAATTTGTTTGTTCTTTGTTGCTCTCACATCGTTTGTTTTTTGTGTTCCTTTGCCTATCTGGATGCTGTGACAGTCCACAAAAGATTGGCCCCCGTGTCTGTATATACATATGGACAAATTTATATACGGTATACTATGCCCTGGTATATAGGTTTTACTAACGACTTTAGCATCTGGCTTTGTAGGCAAAAAAAAAACACTCACGTAAGCATCAAATTGTCAGTGGGATGTGCGGACTTAATTTATCCAGTCGAAAAGGGAAGCTTTCATTATACCCTGCTGGCTGAATGTCTGTTTCTAATCAACTCGATTTCCGCATTTGCCACCGCTCGATTTGTCTGTTTAATCACTAAATTGTGCTTAATTGGTTTTCTTCACGAACTTTATCCCTTTAATTTGTGCAGTTTTCGAACAGATAACGTGCGGAAGTCAAGGATTTACAACCCTTAAGAAGTCCCTGCTAAGCATTGCCGATCCATATTAAAGGTATAAGTCAAAGACAAATAACCACCCCGAAATATAATTAGGGAAATACTGAACTCAACAAGCTAAAATAAATTGAAGTCCTCCTTTTATAAAGAGATATTTTAAATTAAATAAATTTACTTCTATCTTCTTAACTATCTACTATTTTATTGTCTTACCTTAAAATCTGAAAGCAATAGTGACAGGGTAAAACCTCATGTTTTGATATTCAAATCATATTGAAAGATAAAATATGGAGATTTTCATCCACCATCATCACAGGTAAGCTAACTCGAAAGTCCCTTTGGCAACCCTTCTGTGCATTCTGACGGTTTTCTTCTCCTATTGTCCTTTGCATTTATAAAGTCCCTAATTCAGTTTTTATAAGGACATAGCATCAATCTAAAATCTTAAATAAAGGATAAAAGTAATAAAATGGTTTTTCATTTTTTTGTCTACCCTTTTGGAAACGATCTGTTTCTTTCGCAAAACAACATGAGCTTAATATTAAAACCTTTTAGAGGATTTATAGTCTTTAAAAAAATAATTTATTTTTGAGTGGATATAAGCCTGTTTTTTTCTTATGAAACTACTTTATAGAGTATTTTATTTTCCTGTATATGTACATACATATATAGGAAGAAAGTAATAGCACGCCTTCTACGAATTTTAAGTTACATTTTTTTTATTTTTATATGATGCTTGTGGGGATTAAGCTAAAAAGTTTTAAAGCTACACGACTGATTAAAATTTGTACTGCAGACTGTTTTATATTTCTTAAATGGGATTTAGAATTTGGCCTGTGCATTCACATTCTAGGGCTAAATCGACTCCATTGTGGTAATGAAATTGGCAAGTTCATTAAACCTGCTCTTATCTCCAGAAATCCGACCCTGCTTTGGAGGCATAAACAAAAGACGAAGAAGAGGAGAAGAGGAGAGGGGGGCGGAGACGAAGAGGAGGACAAAAGTAAAAATAAACGCAGTGCAATCAAAGTGCAGCGATGGCCTTGCGACTTCGATTCGTGGGAAGAAGAAGAGGACGATCACGCACACTGACACACACTGCACACATGCATACACCCAATAAGCATTTCGAATTTCTTACAAAGTACATATACTTGGGTAAGTAAATCAAAACACTGGCGACTTGGTAACCACATTGGAGAAATCGATAAAATGCCCATTGATTTTCATATGCCGCAATCACAACAAAGAAATATCTGACATGTGATATGTATGTTTGTATAAAACTAGGTTTAAAAGAATTAATAAAATATAAATAAATTACTAAGAAAATGTTTTATGTAAAGAGTACATTTGGGTTGTTTTAAGTAAACAAGCTACATAAATCTGGGGCTCAAAAAAGGTGTTAGAAATTAAAAGGTTTATAAAAAATATATTAAATTTATTTAAGCGTTAAAGTTGCACAGATATTTATACTTGTTTTTGTTGCCAATTTCAATACCAGTTTTTTTTAGGTTCACCACATCGATTCCTTACTGTATCAAGCTTATTGGTTACCTTAACAATAGGTTGGACAGCTCAGGGCCTTATGTAGGGTATTATGGGGGGTCTACTCCTGTGGGAAGTTGGACGAAAAAAGAAATTTCAGTCGGCGAAAATGGGGAAACGAGGCCAATTGGCAAGAGGCCAAATGGCGACGAAAAAGAGCAGCAGACGAAAAAAGCAGAGGACACCGAAGACAAAGCGACGCAAGAGACCCACCAAGCGGCCAAAATATACACTTCTACATGATTTTTTTTAGGTGAAAACTACGCTTTTGTAAGATCTATTATTTAGTGGTATAACAACTCACCCCATCAGCCAATCGACCGTGTCGCGTAGATATTCCGGAATTCGCTCCAGTTTGACGGCTCTTTTTCCTGATGCCTGCTAATTTTCCAAAAAAGTTTTTCCCCAGCTGAGGAGCGCACGCACACACTTTCACGGGCGCACACCAACACACTCACGCACACGCACGCACACACGCTCACGGTTTAGCGGTACGCTCACGGACACGCACGCACACCACCACGCCACCAGGATGTGGAGATCACCAATTTCTACACTTTTACTTTCGTCAATCAATATTTGGGTGATTTGGTTTTGAAACTTTGCACATCAAAATTTTTTCCTGCTTCTTCTTCGCTTGTTTGTGCACTTTGTTGAGTCCCGTTATCGATGCGGACCGATAGCTATCGATAGTCCCTGTCTGCGCACTCTTTCGATAGCAGCTGCGCAGATTTTGTGGGGAGGGTTTTATAAAGGTTACAAATCTGGAAATACCTGTTTTAGTTAACCTTCTGGCTTGCAGTTGCCAACTGTTCAGGGAAAATAAAATTAAAAAGTTCTATCGATTAAGCATCTGCTGTTTTGAATCGGCAGCCCTGGCCGCTGATAATCAGCTGGTTGAGCAGTGGCGTGGCAAGGGGCTGCTAGAGTCCTTGATCTTAAAATCATTAAATCATGCTGAACAGCAACAGAAAGCTAATTTAAAATAAAATAAAAACAATAAGCTTGATGTCTTTAAAATTCGAAATTCGTTTGGTTTTTAGAACTAATTAAGTAAGACATCAGCCTATCGAATGATATCGAAAGTCCATTTCCAGCAGCGACAACCCTGCACCTATCGATTACACAACAGCTGGTAGCAGGCCATGCAGTTTCACTGATTTTACAGCTGTTAAAATTACATAAAAATGGTATATAGTTAAATCACATTGTTTTAGACAACAACAAACATAAAATATTCCGAATATTCTCCATTTCATATACTCAAATTATTTGTACGATGGTCACCAATCCAAACCCAAACTATTCGACTCCGAAGGCGAGCTCCGTGATTCTGGCCGGACTTGGAGTGGCTGCCGTGGGATTCGCCGGAAAGCACCTGATGCGCCGTATGCCCCAGATGACCACCAAATTCAACGAGGCCCTGAAGAACCTGCCAAAATTCGATGCGGAGAGCATGGCGGCGTCCAAATACTACAAAGGCGGCTTTGATCCCAAGATGAACAAGCGGGAGGCCTCCCTCATCCTGGGCGTCAGTCCCAGTGCGTCCAAGATCAAGGTAAAACTGGTCGAAAATTTTGATAATCTCTATAAGCATTATAGTGCTTTTATAGATCAATAATATAACATGTATGTGCCCTGATCACCAATCATCCAAGCTTTTAAAGAAGTCTCAAAAGATTATAAAGAGTACATTTCCATGTCATTTAAAAAACCTAATTTTTTTTCTCATTTTCTTGTATAGTGATATATTTAAATCTTTTAACAATGCTACCTATAGATCAGCACCAGAAAACAAGAAATCATTCAACATGTTCATCAAATATCGTACAATTTTGAACTGCTAAATAAAAACATGGTTTAAAAAAGCCAACTTACTTTCCCTTATCTTAAATTTTTTTCAAATAAATTTGTTTATTTTAGGAACTAGTTTTCTATTAAAAAGTAAAATGGTATCCATTGTCACTGAATTTGTGTTTATTTCTTTTGCAGATTAAGGACGCCCACAAAAAGATCATGTTGGTGAACCATCCGGATCGAGGGGGTTCTCCCTATTTGGCGGCCAAGATCAACGAGGCTAAAGACTTTCTAGACAAAGCCAAGTAGACCTTAAGTCCCGCCTTCAAGTGCAAATAAAGTAGTTTGTGATTAGCATGTAAGCTGAAGTGTAATGCGTTTTATTATAATTTTCTAACCTCTTCTTGTTTAACCAATAGAAAGATTACAATGGCTGTAATTTACTTCTCTGGTCGGTAAAGTCAAACAATGACTTCAAATTCTCAAGGATGTATAGCTTGAACAGGAAATGAAAACTTTAATATTTGTATGTACATATATCATTGAGTTGTTCTCAATATAAGTCAATGATTTTTTCTGGAGCCTTATCATAAGAAAGGTATGAAATCAACTTGGAGTATTTTTGGGGTTAATTTCAAAGTTGCATGTTACAAAAATTAGGTCAAAAAGGGGACTTTTTAATAAATAATAATGAAGTAATTTTATGGTGTTTCTTTTTTCCACGTGGCAAAAGGTATAAGCCGGAATAAGTTTAAGAGTACAACAACTACGATTCAATAAACACTTTTAAATTTAAGCAAATTTTTCGTAGAGGCAACCATATCCAAGTCCTATGTATACGTGTTGCGGAAGACAAACACACTGGTACATCCAACAGTAAATAAAAGAAAATTTGCATGTCAGATGTTCTCCCAAATCGCAGCCTAAGAAAAGAAACGTATAATAATTATAAAATCTTTTTTTGATATAACTAAATTTGCTTACGAATGCGCATCATTGGGTTGTGCATACCAAATACCACGTTTATATATTGACAGGCAATATGAAAAATTATCAGGAACTTTAAAATCCACTTCATTGTTCATGTGAGACTTATTTTCAAATGGGCGATGTTTTTGTGTTATACGACTTTCTCATTTTTCAATAAATGCGCAGGAAATCTTGCAAACAAACTATTCAATTACAAAGATAGAATGACGAAAAGGCGATTGCAATGTAAAGTTCTATCCAGCTCCATTTACACTAGGCAAGTTGCATGAACCCCACTAACAAAGGGTTTGAATTTAAACAATTTATTTAAAATGTGATCCCGAAATATTTGTTACCGTAACAAAAATCGATCATATCCTGATGACATGAATAAATTATTGTTACTTAATTTGCATCTTTACACTACTATTATTTAGTGAAAAATTCAGGACAAGGAGGAAACTCTTTGTCACATGACTGCCAACATATGTGTTTTAATAAACGCAAACACTATTAAGAAAGAACTCAAGCTAACAGTTGAAGCGTGGAATAATTTACTTTTGCTTAAACAATTGCGTCTGGTACATTTAATTTTTCGCGAATTCTGTTGTTTATTTAACCCGGTTATACTTGGACTTCCGATTAAGTGACGCGATAGGTTCTCACGCTGATACGGAATAAGCAGACTTTTTGAACTGACTTCAGGTGTTTGGTAACACCACCGAAATGGGTATAAATAGTGCGGCCAAAACTCCAGAACAGCATCAGTTATTCACAATCCAACCATCAGTATGAAGCTCACCTGTGCCCTGCTCCTTTTGGCCACCGTGGCGTTCGTCCTGGTGGACCAGACCAGTGCAGCCACTGGCACAACCACAGCCACGACGGAGGCAGCCACCACAACCACTACCACCGAAACCACCACCAGCACAACCACCGAATCCACCACCACCACCACGACCACGGCCGCAAGCACTGACAAAAAGATGTATATAGTTCACCACCATAACGAAATAAACAAGGCCGGTGTAAAAGGGACAATACACGGTACCAAACTTGTACACGGTAAAAGCGGAAAAAATAAAAGCGGCGAAAACAAGAAAAGCGGCAAAAGCAACCGTAGGAGCAAAGGCAACCGTAGAGGCCGTGGCAGCCGTAGAAACCGTAGAAGCGGTTAAACTCCTTAAAAACAAAGGCGACCTGATCCACAACCACCCACAAGCCCCACCAACTTCCTTAAGCCCCTAACCCCAACCCGAAAATAGCTTTATAATTTTAGTTTATTTACTTTAAGGCATTGACAAAAAAAAAAAAAAAAAAAGTTGTACTAAGAAATATTTGTTTTATTCCCAGCTAATAAAAAATATTCATTTGTATTTCAGCAAAACATTCGAATTCTTCAGGAATTGTGGTCGCAAGAAAATAAAATAAATGATTTATATCCTTATCCTTATATCTTCTTAATAGGGTTATTAGCAAAGAAAACTATTATTATTGACTTTTTCATAGTCTTATCCTTATCGTTATTTTTATACCCTTGCAGATGGTATTATAATTTTGGTCAAAAGTGTGCAACGCAGTGAAGGAGACATCTCCGACCCTATAAAGTATATATATTCTTGATCAGGATCACCTCCTGAGTTGATATAGCCATGTCCGTCTGTGTTTGTCCGTCTGTCTGTTTCTACGCAAACTAGTCTCTCAGTTTTAAAGCTATCGAATTGAAACTTTGCACACACCCTTCTTTCCTTTGCACGCAGTATATATGTCGGAACGGACGGGATCGGCCGACTATAACCTATAGCTGCCATATAACTGATTGATCGGAAATGCCATAACTTTGGTGTTTGTAAAGTTAGGAAGCTGGAATTTCCTATGGGTTTTATATTTGGCCAATCTATCCGACCTACCAAATTTCATACGGATCGGCCGACTATATCCTATAATTTTTATTTCAATTTATTTTACACTTTCAAGCAAAGTATTTAGTTGATTACAGTGTTGTTAGTTTTTGTTTGCTTTGTTTTGTTTTGCTGTTGCTCCTGCTGATGCTGTTGCTCCTGCTGCTGCTGCTCCTGCGATTGCTGTTATAAAAAGAATGGATTTTTACTTGTTAAAACTAACTTCGTACATGAATTCTTAAGATAAATGTTATCTTCAGGATTCTTTATTTAATACCTCTGGCTAGCTTAAATAAATATTTTGGAAGAGCTAAGGCCGATATCATTCAAGAATTTATAAAAGAAAATTGAAAAATATGTTTCTTTCTCTAATGTCGTTAAAATCGTTTTTTTCATAGTACTGATTAATCTGCAGATGCTAATAATGTAAAAAAAGTTGTATATTAATTTTAGAAACAAACGCAAAACTAAATTATAAGTCTAGAGCTCTGACTAATTTCGGGTATCCATTCATATTATATAATGATCATGACATCTGGTTCAAAAGCTAAGCTGGTGGCTATGAGAAATTGGCTTCTGGTTTTTGACCGCAATGTGGTTCTTAGGACACTGCTTATTTTAGTCACTTACCATTCCTCCGTGCGTGGACACGCCGGGCGATATTAGAGAAAGGCTTTGCAGCATCATGGTTGCGTTCTCTATGTTGGACACACACTGATCGGGTCCAGTACCTGGTCCTCCGGGTCCGCCCTGCTGCTGCATCAGGTTTACATACCTGCTGCATCACCTGCGGCTGCTGCTGCTGCTCCTTGCGCTTCAGCCTCTTCTCCTCAAGCTCCTTCTGTATCGTGTAGATCTTCTCCGCCAGCAAGTGATAGTACTCAGATCTGGACTTGGCCATCTCGTACCTGTCCTTCTCGACCTTCTCCGCGTACGAGACGAGATTGTGGAGTCGTTTGTCCTCCATAGTGGTGGGATCTGAGGTGGGGAAGATGGCCTGCACCAGTCTGTGTACAAGATGGTTGCGCAGATCATCGGTAACCGGCCAGTCCTTCTCGTTGTCGCCAGGAGCTCCAGAGTTCCCGCCATTGCCATTGCCATTGCCGCCGGCGCCTCCAGTTCCCGCTCCCGCGTTCTGATTGGGATTGCCCGCGTTGCCGCTGCCCATGGTATTGGCTGACATCAGGACACTGGAACTACTAAATCAGAATTACACTTTTAGTTTTATCAAAATCGGACAACAATATCATATAGCTGCCATAGAAACGATGGCAAAATGCAGCGCGAAATCGTCATAGCTTCAATGTTTTAAGTAATATAGTTATAGAATTCGAAATGTAGTCGTTTTGTAATAACTGCAAGGGTATTTAAACTTCGACTTGCCAAAGTTTGCTTTCCTCTTGTTAGGACCCCGTAAACGAAGATACGTTGTCTTGAATATCGCGTAAAGTAGATCTTGAGCTTACAGGTGTAGAGGTTTACGCCGATGGCTTGGTCGTCGGCGGCGGCGTGAGGGTCAAGAAAAGCCGGCGGCGGCGGCGTAGAGTTAGAATGAAAACGGCGAATTTGTCGGCGGCCGGCGGCGTACGCAGTAAAAAAAAATTTTTTTTTAAAATAAAAGTTTCCTCAATTTCTATAACTTTTATTTATTTTCCTTATTAAACATAATAACGTAATTATAGAAACATAAGATTTCAAGAAATTAAAAACAAATTAACACTTCTTTTTCTGAGAGATGGAGCTGAGACAATTTCGATTCTTTTATTCGATTACTTAAAAGCATCAAACAAAATGCTATTGCGCCGAACGCCGCCGCCGCCGCGCCGATATTTTCGCGATTCGGCGGCGGCGCCTTAAAAAAGATAAAAATCGGCGGCGGCGTGGCTCGGCGGCGTAAATGTCTATACAGGTGCATTCGCTTCTTGGTAATTTGAGGAACCACTGACGATTATAGAATCTTCTTCCGCATCGCCACCCACATTTAGCCCAAAATGATCTAACAACCGATCCTGTAAAACACTAAGAAATTTCGGTCGGATTGCTTGTTTCCCTATCTAGTGTGTCGATTTCATCATCTTTTTGTTGTGTTTTTTATTTCTGCTCACGCACATACTTCGATTTTAATCAAATTTTTCTTGTTTTTAACTGTTTTTTGTCGATTAACTACTCTTTTTCAATTAACTTTCATGTAATTCCGTCGTGGCTTGTTCTTTATGTGTTAACGCACAGTTGTTTTAATTGTTTTTGGATAGTCCCGGACGAGACTCCAATAATTTGTAGGGTATTACATACCAAATATTGTTTTCTTTTCCGGTATTTCACAAGAGAAATATTCGGTTTTCACGACTTCGCACTATGAATACTTCGACCTCCTTTGTCAACTGTTCGGCATCAACTAAACTTGGGGCAATATCGTGGCGCGAAATTTGAGTAAAAGAGTGAACTCAAAAAAAAACACATTGCTCAAAAAAGCGATAAGCATATATATATATATATATATATATAGTGACATATTCACATATCCACTTATGTTCTAAGAAATAAGAATCTGCAGCGTAGGCGATCCCACGCTGAACCAATGTAAACAATCCACATCGAGAGCTGGCGATGCTGCATCTCAATAACATAAACAAAGTCCCGCTCTCTGAGTGGCACTCTTATTCTCAAATTATTATGTACAATCAATATCCCAAGCCGGCGATCTCGCTCGCCAACTTATGTAAACAAAGGGCAGCACAAGTAATATTTTTGTCACAAGAATTTAATCTTAAGCTGAGATCTATCGAATAAAGACGTGAAACTAATTCTTCGGTTTTTAATTCAACTTGGCGTTGTCCTTAGTCAACTGACGGGACATTAGTTCGACTCAACAAAAATACAAACACTTAACTATATATATAGTGACATATTCACATATTCATAGAAATAAGAATATTCAATGTAAACAATCCACATCCAGAGCTGGCCATGCCGCTCTACAATAACATAAACAATTATTGAAATGACTAAGTGCCGCGCCCTAAGTGGCACTCTCACTCTCAAATTATTGAATACAATCAAGCGGGCAATCTCGCTCCAAAATTTATGTAAACAAGAAAAATATTTGTCACAAGAATTTAGTCTTAAGCCAATCTTCAATTAATAAAGTCTCAGAACCTCATTTAATTGTGTTTTTAATTTAAAGTTCGGCGTTGATCTTAACCCAAAGGGTGGATCATTTATTCGACTCAAACTAAATAATTTCAATACGATATATGTATGTATATATGTATATAAAGAGATTAAACAGCAAGTGTGATGAAATTGTTAAGCTCAGTCGACTGCGCTTAGTCACACTGTACACCCAGAGATTTGCAGACACTACAAGTATTGAATGCGTTTAGTTATTGTGTGAAGTTTAACATTTTGGCAAGGTAATCATTATCCTTAGAGTATACGAAGTATTTTGGAATAACTTTAAGCAATTGAAGTATCTTACGAGATCAGTTGTCAGCGTCATAATCATCTTATAGGATTTTCAAAATGTTTTTTTCTCAAGAAAACCACATTGCTCAAAAGAGTGATAAGCATATAATATATATATATACAATGGTGGGAAAAATAGTAGAAACGAGCTGATATTCCCGCCACCATGCTTAACAGTCTTAGTGGTATGCTTCGGATCGAAAACATTATTTTTTGGCCGCTTTTCATATGTTTTCCCATCTGATCAGAACATATTATTTATTTTAGTTTCATCAAACCACAGGACTTTATTCAAATTTTGGTATGAAGGTATTCAAGGTATCTCTTTACAAAAATAAGCATTTTTTCAATATTTCTTTTGTTAAAAAACAACAACACTGTAATTAATTAAACACTTTGCTTTAAAGTGTAAAATAAATTGAAATTAAAATTATGAAATCAAAACGACTGACTTTATTGGTTCCTTTTTTCGGTGGGAAATGGAAGAGATTCTTGAATTCTAGATTTTGAATTTAGCTAATTGGAAATCTTTTATAAATCTCCATAAAATATAACCTTATGCTAGAAAATAATCCTCAACTCCATCATGTTGTTATACCCTTGCAGCGGGTATTATAATTTCAGTCAAAAGTTTGTAACGCAGTGAAAGTATTTATATTCTTGATCAGCATCATATGTCCGTCTGTCCGTCCGTCCGTTTCTACGTAAACTAGTCCATGAGTTTTAAAGCTATCTGCTAGAAACTTTCCCAAAAGTTGTCTTCCTATTGCAGGTATAGTGTATAAGTCGAAACGAGCCGGATCGGGCTACTATATCAAATGGCTCCCATAGTAAAAATCGGAAAAAAAAAATCTAAAAAGTAGAACTTTGTTGTTTTTAATTGGATTTTTGTTCTTCTCAAATCCCATTTGGTAATATTTAAATACTATGGAGTTACGGGTTTGATTAAATTAAAATCGAACATCTATATCATATAGCTCCCAAAGGAAAATCAAAAAATTAAAAAAGTATAAAAATTAAACAAAATTTATTTTGCTGTTTTTCTATTTATCAAAACATTTGTTTGTGATATAGTAATTTTGTACTATATAGAATTACACTTTTAGTTTTGTCAAAATCGGACAGCAATATTATATAGCTGCCATAAAAACGATAGCAAAATACAGCGCAATAATATAGGCATAGAAATCGAAATGCAGTAGTTTTGTAAAAGCTGCAAGGGTATATAAACTTCGGCTTGCCGAAGTTTGCTTCCTTTCTTGTTATTTTCTTAATAGGCTTATTAGGAAAAAAAGTAAAAGGTGCAAATTAATTATTAATGACTGTGGAAAAATACCTATATATATTTATATACATAAACCGCTTCTAAATTTAAATAGCAAATCAATATTCAATGTAGTAAGAAAGCCTTGCAAATTAGTTAGCTTCTTATCTAGCTTATCTTCTTCATTTCAGCACGGAATTGTGCAACGGATGCCATTTCATTCTGATCCTTTTGCTCAGCTGTTAGGCTGAACCAGATCCTTTCAAAATCATCTTTGGAAACAATGCTCTGGAATATTCGTTCTATTTCATCCCTGCAGCGCATCACATTGAAATCACTGGGCCATAAACCACATAAGGTGGGTAAGTCCGGGTTCAGAACGTCCTTGACATGTGTGTCATCAAGATCCTTCTGGACGGGTGACTTGTGGGTATGGATGAAGTTTGGACCCTCGGGGGGTTTCTTCAACAAATCAGCACACAACTGGCGATAGGCGGTATCCTGGTTGTAGATCGCCTTTGGCATGGGCGAGATGGATCCGATCATTGGCAGGGACTTCAGAATCGAGAGGAGGTGGCACAAGTCCTCATACTTCACACGTTCCGAGCAGCAGCCCTCGTCGACGATTAACCTAAAATGTGAGACGGCTGTTCGGATTTTCTCCGCATCCGCCGGAATGTTCAATTTGCGCATCACATGAATGATCTCGGTCAATGGAAGCTGGCGATTGCCCTCTTTATCCTTCTTCTCCAGCGCCACGATAACCTGGTTCATATTGAAGTCGTCCCGCTCCTGGAGCATTTTGCGCAACATATTCAAGTGGCTGATTGCACTGGCCAATTTCTCGGATAAAATGGAAGGCGAAGTGTTTTCCAGCAACGATCGCATGTCTGCTTCACGGGGCATTGTGCGGCCAAAGGTCATATTCTCCGGGATCTGATATGGATACCATCTGAAATGGGTTTTGTTTTTTTTAATAATCCTCTGAATTATATTTATTACTCACTTGTACTTCTTGCCCAACGGACCTTTGGTGCGATCGTCCAAATCCATCTGCGGTTTTTTGACTATTATCAGATGCTCCTCGCCTTCATGCAAGCAGCGTTTTACCTTAATTCCGGTATGATCAACATAGAATGGCATGCCGAAAGTATTTAGCCGATTAAAGTGCGATGAATATCTAGTTCGAAAATAAGCTGGTAAAATTTAAAAATACCTATGGCCCGTTTCTCAGTGCCTTATTAAGGGGTAGAGCCTTTTGTCATAGAAAGTTAAGATGGAGACAAATGGTTCGGAAATACAAATTAATGTTCTAAAAGTGAAGTTAGTTTTTGTCGCACTAATCGAACGGAAATTCGGAAGAATTTTTTTTAATTGGATTTTTAATAAAACATGATATTAAGAAAGCAAAGGTTTCCGAAACAGTAATTTAACCCAAAGCCCAAACTTAACAAGACATTGAGAAATTGGCTCTTTAAGTGAATTGCTGAACCAACCGACGATTGATCTGTTCCGAGGGGAAGTAGTGATTGTGACTGATGATGTGTTTGTCGTGGAACTCGCCATACTCCCGATTGACTTGCTCGGCAGACTTGGGTGGCATTACCACTGAGTAGAGGGACTCTTCAGGATCGGAGGCTTGGCCGAAGGTACGGCTTAGATTTGTGACAGAATCCGGCTTGGAGTTGCTTTCCGTGGCCTGGCCCAGAAGAGGCTTTTTGAAAAACATGTTCTCGCGAAACTTCTCCTGGAACTCGGCGAACAGGCCCTTATCCTGATTGCTGAAAATATCACCCATCTTGTCAGTGGGAATCTTAGGCGTTCGTTTTCCATAAGGTTTGGCCTTGTGCAGCCGACAAAGTGCCCTTATACGGTTCTCCGCCTCCTCCTCCAAGTTCACGATCATAAAGCACTCCTTGCTGCCATATAATTCCCCTCCTGACTTCTCAAACGAGGTTAGTCCTGCAGCCCGCATATCGGGATTTCTTTCTATGTAACGACCCACGTTTGCCATTTCTGTTGTTTCGATCTTGTCAGGGTGTTGTAATATATGTTATATACAGGGTTTACAATATCTGAATGGGCACACTTTGATTGCTCAATGTGTAAGAATAATTAGATTGGTGGAATATTTATTTTGAATACAAAAAGTAGGAAATATACGTAGCTTTATCTTGTTTTACTTGGTTAAAAGGTGCTAAAGATTTAAATTGGATACAAAATGTAGGAAATATCTAATACATTATCTTTTTTTGACTCTACTTCTTTCTGCTGTCAATTTAATTTATTTTGGAAAAAATTTTGTTATAGCATAGTTAAAGTGGAATTCTTAAGAAATAGTGGTCCATCGGGGATAATTCATTAACAACCGTAACCAGAATCGATCTTATCCTCATGACATGAATATAATATTGTTACTTAATTTGTATCTTTACTACTATTATTTAGTGAAAAATTCAGGACAAGGAGGAAACTCTTTGTCATATGACTGCCAACATATGTGTTTTAATAAACGCAAACACTATTAAGAAAGAACTCAAGCTAACAGTTGAAGCGTGGAATAATTTACTTTTGCTTAAACAATGACGTCTGGTAAATTTAATTTTTCGCGAATTTTGTTGTTTATTTAACCCGGTTATACTTGGACTTCCGATTAAGTGACGCGATATGTTCTCACGGTACGGAATAAGCAGACTTTTTGAACTGACTTCAGGTGTTTGGTAACACCACCGAAGTGGGTATAAATAGTGCGGCCAAAACTCCAGAACAGCATCAGTTGGTCGCATTCACAATCCAACCATCAGTATGAAGCTCACCTGTGCCCTGCTCCTTTTGGCCACCGTGGCGTTCGTCCTGGTGGACAAGACCAGTGCGGCCACTGGCACAACCACAGCCACGACGGAGACAACCACCACCACCACCACCGAGGACAGCACCACAACCACCAGTACCACCGAATCCACCACCACCACGACCACGGCTGCAAGCACTGACAAAAAGATGTATATAATTCACCGCAATGGCACAATAACCAGGCCCAAAGTAGAAGGGAAAATACACGGTACCAAACAAGTACACTGCAATAGCGGCGAAAAAAAGAAAAGCGGCAAAAGCAACGGTAGCAGCAAAGGCCTACGGTGGCTAAAGTCCTTAAAAGCAAAAGCGACCTGATCCACAACCACCCACAAGCCCCACCAACTTCCTTAAACCCCTAACCCCAACCCGAAAATAGCTTTATAATTTTACTTTATTTACTTTAAGGCATTACCAAAAAAAAAAAAAAAAAAAAAAAAAGTTGTACCAAGAAATATTTGTTTGTTTTCTAGCTAATAAAAAATATTAGTTGTCGATGGTATTGCTGCTGGTGCACCTCAAGGCAGTGTCCTAGGCCCGACATTGTACTCACTGTATACCTCAGATATGCCAGATTCCTGGGGCTGTACTGAAGATGACCACGATAATATGTTCATCGCAAAATAAGCCGACGACACCGCGGTTTTGGTCAGGAATGCAAGCATGGATATTGCAAGCATAGATATTGCAACCTTGGGTCTACAGGGGTACTTGACACGATTCGAAAAGTGGACTACCGAATGTAATATAGGCATGAACTGCAGCAAATGTGCTTGTGTCACATTTACGCCAAGACCACTGAATTGCTCAGGTATTTCTATGCTCTGTACTCTCTGTACTTCGACATGAGACCCACTATAAGTACCTTGGGGTGATCTTGGATAGAGGGCTCACTTTTCAAAAGCACACGACGATGATCAAGCACGCAGTACTTTTGAAGGCTGCACGCATGTCCTGGCTACTTTCGCCGAGAAATAAACTCTCATTGTCTAATAAAGTTCGCATATATAAATCCATTTTGAGTCCAATTTGGAAATATGCGCTACAAATTTACGGCATAACGGCCAAATCTAACCTAAATAAAATTAGAGTTGCACAAAGTAAGATTGTTAGATCCATCTGTAACGCCCCCTGGTTTATGAGAACGAGAGACATAGAAAGAGATCTAAAAATCCCAAAGATAGGCGATGTATGCCGAACACACGCGGAAAATTATTTCAGACGTCTTGGTTCTCACCCTAACTCATTGGCGAAAAGGCTGTTATGGAGACCGAGAAAAAGAAGATTTTCCTCCCATCAAGACACATATAATTTTTAAAGCTTAAAGGAATTAAAATAGAAATTAAATATATATGATAAGTTTTGCAATAAATATACAATTTTTTACTTTTATAAAAAAAAGTCCCGCCTTCAAGTGCAGTAGTAGCATGTAAGCTGAAGTGTAAAGCGTTTTATTATAATTTTCAAACCACTTCTTGTTTAACCAATAGAAAGATTGGTTACTTCTCTGGTCGGTAAAGTCAAAGAATGACTTCAAATTCTCAAGGATGTATAGCTGGTAATGGTAACTTTAATATTTGTATGTACATATATCATTGAGTTGTGCTTAATATAAGTCAATGATTTTTTTTGGGAAGCTTAAACAATTTTGTGGAGCCTTTATAATAAGAAAGGTATGAAATCAACTTCTTGTAGTATTCAAAGTTATACTTTACAAAAATTAGGTCAAAACGGGGACTTTTTAATAAATAATAATGAAGTAATAATATGGTGTTTGTCTTTTTCACGTAGCAAAAGGTATAAGCCGGAATAAGTTTAAGATTACAATAACTACGATATAATAAATACTTTTAAATTTAAGCAAATTTTTCGTAGAGGCAACCATATCCAAGTCCTGGGACATCCAACAGCAAATAAAAGAAAATTTGCATGGCAGATGTTCTCCCAAATCGCAGCCTAAGAAAATACGAATGCGCATCATTGGGTTGTGCATAGAAAATACTAAGCTTATGTTTTGACAGGCAATATGAAAAGTTATCAGGAACTTATTTTCAAATGGGCGATGTTTTTGTGTTATACGACTTTCTCATTTTTCAACAAATGCGCAGGAAATCTTGCAAACAAACTATTCAATTACAGAAGTAGAATGACGAAAAAAAAAAAAAAAGTTTTATCAAGTTACATGAACCCCACTAACAAAGGGTTTGAATTTTTTAAAATTTATTTAATTTATTTGAAAGGTGATCCCGAAATATTTGGTTACTGTAAAAACTAATAATACGAATACCAACTTTTCCTTTTTAGACACGTTACTTATAAGCTTTACAAAAAAAAAATATTTTATTTGTTGAAAAGTATGTAATAAGTTAAAAAACTGTTTAGTGTTTTAATTATTTTTATTAAAAAACAAAAATGGAACAAGAGATTGATTGTAAATGGCACAGGAAAGGTAGTGACATACAACATTTTTTAGCACTACGAATTTAAGTACGCAACCACCGGCCACACCAGCTTCAATTTAGTATTGCCATTTTTACATTTTTATTTCTGCTTAACCAATTGATTTTCTAAAAGTATTTTCTTGGCATCACTTAAGTTAAAGCGATGCCTTACGATCGGTATATCATTCTTTCCGATCGAACTTTTTCTGCGGTTTTTTATTGGTATAAGATTAAAAATAAGATTATACTTATATTTTGAAAAAATTTAGTTATAGCATAGTTATAGTTGAATTCTTAAGAAATATTGGTCCATCGGGGATAATTCATTAACAACTTTTGGCGTAGCGTGATCTCGACGGTTACCGTAACCAAAATTGATCTTATCCTGATGACATGAATAAATTATTGTTACTTAATTTGTATCTTTACACTTCTATTATTTAGTGAAAAATTCAGGACAAGGAGGAAACTCTTTGTCACATGACTGTCAACATATGTGTTTTAATAAACGCAAAAACTATTATGAAGGTACGCAAACTCACAGTTAAAGCGTGGAATAATTTACTTTTGCTTAAACAATGACGTCTGGTAAATTTAATTTTTCGCGAATTTTGTTGTTTATTTAACCCGGTTATACTTGGACTTCCGATTAAGTGACGCGATATGTTCTCACGGTACGGAATAAGCAGACTTTTTGAACTGACTTCAGGTGTTTGGTAACACCACCGAAGTGGGTATAAATAGTGCGGCCAAAACTCCAGAACAGCATCAGTTGGTAGCATTCACAATCCAACCATCAGTATGAAGCTCACCTGTGCCCTGCTCCTTTTGGCCACCGTGGCGTTCGTCCTGGTGGACCAGACCAGTGCGGCCACTGGCACAACCACAGCCACGACGGAGACAACCACCACCACCACCACCGAGGACAGCACCACCACCACCAGTACCACCGAATCCACCACCACCACGACCACGGCTGCAAGCACTGACAAAAAGATGTATATAATTCACCGCAATGGCACAATAACCAGGCCCAAAGTAGAAGGGAAAATACACGGTACCAAACAAGTACACTGTAACAGCGGCGAAAAAAAGAAAAGCGGCAAAAGCGGCAAAAGCAACAGTAGCAGCAAAGGCCTACGGTGGCTAAAGTCCTTAAAAGCAAAAGCGACCTGATCCACAACCACCCACAAGCCCCACCAACTTCCTTAAACCCCTAACCCCAACCCGAAAATAGCTTTATAATTTTACTTTATTTACTTTAAGGCATTACCAAAAAAAAAAAAAAAAAAAAAAGTTTTACCAAGAAATATTTGTTTGTTTTCTAGCTAATAAAAAATATTCATATCCTTGACATGTGTGTCATCAAGATCCTTCTGGACGGGTTTCTTTAACAAATCAGCACACAACTGGCGATAGGCGGTATCCTGGTTGTAGATCGCCTTTGGCATGGGCGAGATGGATCCGATCATTGGCAGGGACTTCAGAACCGAGAGGAGTTGGCACAAGTCCACATACTTCACACGTTCCGAGCAGCAGCCCTCGTCGACGATTAACCTAAAATGTGAGACGGCTGTTCGGATTTTCTCCGCATCCGCCGGAATGTTCAATTTGCGCATCACATGAATGATCTCGGTCAATGGAAGCTGGCGATTGCCCTCTTTATCCTTCTTCTCCAGCGCCACGATAACCTGGTTCATATTGAAGTCGTCCCGCTCCTGGAGCATTTTGCGCAACATATTCAAGTGGCTGATTGCACTGGCCAATTTCTCGGATAAAATGGAAGGCGAAGTGTTTTCCAGCAACGATCGCATGTCTGTTTCACGGGACATTGTGCGGCCAAAGGTCATATTCTCCAAGATCTGATATGGATACCATCTGAAATGGGTTTTGTTTTTTTTTAAATAATCAATGAAATATAAGTGTCTAAAAACTTCACTCCTAAGCCCATAACTTCTTAATGATTGTGGCTTAATTCTAAAACTTTGTGTTTACATCTTGGTTTCTTTTTTTGGGTCGATTTCTCATCATTTTTATGGTGTAACCCCATTTTTATAGACTAACCTCTTTCCAAATATTCGAACAAGGGCTTTGTAGAAAAGTCTTAAAAAACTGACCAACTAAACTCATAACTTTTCTTACAGAAATCCTATTTTAAAATATATTAACTTCTAAATAATAGTGAATTAATTCTCTAAAAATCTTCGTTTAAATCTTGGTTTGAATTTCTGGGTCCACTTTTCGTCAATTTTATAACGTAAATGGAATTTATCACCTAGTTATGCGGGAGTAGTCTTATTACCTCTGCTACACAAATTGTAGCATATCTTTGGGCGGACATTTGTGTGAGGTAAATATTTACCTACAGTTGAGTTCCGAGTATTTACGTTTATTCAAAATAATAAATATTTGGTATTTGTCAGATGTACAGAATTTTAGAGAAACCGAACTGATCCGGAAATTAGTAGTGAGCTATAAATGGGGCAATACCAACTTCAGTCAATCACAACACTCGATCACAGCTTTTCGATCCAGTTTAACTTTAATTGTCTAATAAGCTCCAACAGCATACAAAATGAAGTACCTCTTCGTGGTCGCACTTATTGCGTTGTCCATTCAGTTGGCCTACTCTGCAACTTCTACCACTACTGATGCCACTACCACTACAACAACCACTGCGGCAACAACCACTACAACAACAACGGAAAAGTCCACCCACAAGAAGAGATGTTGGAAGGGCAACAACTGGTGCCACACGCACATCCCCAAAAGGAAGTGCAAGCACCCAAAGAGGTGCCACAAGACCGTCGTCATAGTGACCCGCAGAAAGAACTAAGAGCAATCCAGATTTTTGTTAAAAAATAAATATATCAAAAATATCAAGCCATTTTTATTCTTTACTTTTAATAAGATCGGATTAGCCATTTTTGCTATTACTTTTAGCGTTGGCTACTCTTGACAACACGCAGAATATCATCCTGATAATGATCAAATCGCTAATCATTAAAACAGAAATTAAAAAATTGATGGGTGATACAATTTCTAATCTATTGGTTCAATCTATAGACTCGCAACTATTTTGAGTAAATATTTTAGTAAATCATATATTTTCAAAACTAATAACTAAACTATTTTTGTTTATTCATTTTTGATGGTTTGAGTTTGTTGGATATCACATTTTATAAGCCAATGTTGTATAAAATATTTGAAAACTAATTTTTCGTTCTTGAGAATCTACAACTTAGTTATATAAACCAAATTGACTTAAAACTACCATAGTCTAATAAAGTTAGCATCTTAACCTTTTGTAATCCAATTTTTTTTTATACATAGTTAATTGATATCAAAATCATTGTTTACCATGTAGCCTTCACTTTTGTTATGGAAATCACGTCAATATTGAAATAATGAATTGTGAATTTTGCCTATTGTTATTAGATTTGCTTACTTAATTTTTAGCTTCTGCCTTAAATCGTGTTAAGTAAATATAAATTTTAAAGTGTTTTCTTGAGTTTAAACAGCTGTCTTTACATGTCAGTAAACCATAACGTTTTGCAAATACTTGACTTCCCACTATCATATTGTTAATAAGATTTTTTTCTATACAGCAAGGAAATGATTTTCCCAATTAGTATTTGCCAAATGAGTACACTAGCAACAAACAAGGAAAATAACTGAAGTGGAATTCACCTATAAAAGTGCCTGTATCTAGTCTTGTTAATCACAACATTCAATATACCAACTTTGAAAAGGTTTCGCTTCTTTTCCATTTGGTTTCAACAGTAGTTCCCAAGGATTCCCAAATCATACAAGATGAAGTTCCTTTTCGTGGTCGCCCTTATTGCCTTGTCCATTCAATTGGCCTACTCTGCAACTTCTACCACTACTGATGCCACTACCACTACAACAACCACTGCGGCAACAACAACAACATCCTCATCTGCCACCACTACAACAACAGAAAAGTCCACCCACAAGAAGAGATGCTGGAAGGGCAACAACTGGTGCCACACGCACATCCCCAAGAGGAAGTGCAAGCACCCAAAGAGGTGCCACAAGACCGTCGTCATAGTGACCCGCAGAAAGAACTAAGGACTCTTTTAGATCACAAAAGTACAAATAAAAAATGAACTACCAATATAAACGTATTCTTCTATTTAAGAGGCGGGTGCTCAAGAAAAGCAGAAAATATTTTAAGGGTACTCCAAGTCCATTTAAATTTTTAACTAAAATGGTTAAGATATAGTAGTTCAAGCTTTGTAGTAAACTTTCCATTTTCATTTCTGAAGGCTTCGTTTTGTGAACATAAGAAATTCAAAGCAGGGATTAAACATCTCCGAAATGTCAATTAAATCAAGTTCACTCAAAAAAATAAAGACACCCAGAGAACACTTCGTACATAACATACAACCAGGATAGGAAACAGGACAAGACCGTCGGCAATGGCAAACAAAGGACACTTTATCGAGAGGAATGGCAACCAGCGGGCCGCCGGATTGCCCTCCTTTGGTCCCGAAAAGCTAACTCCCAAGGATTGCCTGATCATTGCGAATCCGGCGGAGAAAATACTCAGCCTTATTGAAGGCGAGTGCAGAAGGCAGCGGGCACAGCCCGTTGGAAAACCTCAGCCTCATTTGCCGGACAGCAAAATCAGTGAAGTCCTTAATAGTGAAAGTCAAAAGACACGCTTCACCGTCTTCAAGGAGAAGTTCCTGGAGGACATGTACGGCAAATCGGGGAAAACCGCTGAAATAATGCCCACGCATTCGAAACCGAACGATGTGACTAATTTGAGCCGCACCTTCGGACGTGCCAATCCGCCATCGAAATCTTTATATAGCACCGTAATGCCGGATAAATCGGCCGAACAGGTCAATCGGGAATATGGCGAATTTCATCGAGGTCACATTGTCAGTAACAATCATTACTTTCCATCTGAGCAGGTTAATCGCAGGTTAGTTGGATTGTTTAAAAATTATTTAAATTAACTAAAATTAAAATAAGAGCATATTAGTGGTAGACAGAAAATTATATAGAACTAAAATTGTTATTTAGGGATTGTTATACTTTATATAAGAAACCTGTAATGCAGTCAAAGAAGCAAAGGCATTTGTTTGTTAAAATTTAATTGATCAAATTTATATAAATCTATCATTACTTCATACATTTTTGGGTAAAAGTCAAGTGTTCCAAATATTTAATTACAATTTTTAATTTACTTATATTTTCTATTAACTACACTTACCTTTTTTTAAAGGTATACAAAGCCCTTTGTTCGATCTGGAACTTTTGGAGTTTTGCTAGGGGCCGAGCACAGTGGGTCGACGATGAAGAAGTGCTTGATGCAAGGGGAGGAGCACTTAACCGTGGTCTCAAAACCCTGGATGGACTATGTTGAACGCACCAAAGGACCGTTGGGGAAGAAATACAACAAGTTGGTATTCGAATAGATAATAATTAAATTCACAAGCAACAAAACTCCAATCGTTTCTAATGCTAATTCATTTTTATAGTAATTTTTAGTTAATTTCACTACAGCTTTTATCTGCTTATAAGAATGTGGCACTGCTAACGTCACAAAGTAAATTATTTGCGAACTTGACTTAAGTTTGTTCTTTGATGTTTGTTCAAGTGTGGTTTGGCCTAAGCATTTCTAAAAAATAAGTCGTAATTTGCAAAAATAATTTAGAATAGAAATAAAATAATAGGCAAAAACAAATATTGATAAATATACTGTTTATACTTTAAATATATTTAGGAAAACAGACAGGTTTAATTAAGGTGAAAAGAGTAGGAGAGGTTTAATTTTGAGTAAAGAAAAATAGCTCTAAAAATACTTTTCAAAGGATAATAGTAAGGGATTAAATATTAAAAAATTTTAATATAACAAAATTAAATTTATTTATGTATTTTATATTAGATACTTAGATAAAGTGCCTGACTTGAATTTTGGTGAACGGCGACGTATGGATAAATGTAGCATTAAAATGTTGCTGGAGGACATAAGACCGTGCGAGCAGGATGATACTTTGGTGACGGCATTATCCTATTTGAACAGACTGCGGGAGAGTCTCCACAAGCGGAATGATTTCTACATGATGGATCTGATCGCGACGCTGGAAAGGATCGACAAAGAGCACACGGGTCACATGCCACTCTCCCAGATCCTTCATACCATGTGCCGGCTGCATATCCGTGTGGATGGAGCGAAAATCCGCACAATGTTATCGCACTTCCGGAAGATCATCGACGAAGGATGTGCCACAGAGCGGGTGAACTACGATCACTTCTGCCGCTTGCTATCCGTCCAGCAACCACTGCCGGATGTCGGATTAATTGGCATCATTCCGGACAACATGTACAACAAGGAAACTACCTACGGCAGTCTTTGCAACGATCGCATGAAGAATATACCTGAGGCTTTGGCTTTTAACTGGCCGAACTGGAGTCCACACCACAGGGACGAGGTCGACACACATGTCAAGGATATCCTAGAACCGGAACTGGCCACCAAAATGGGCGTCATGCCCAGCGATTTCATTTGCCCACGGAACAAGGAACAAATGGAGCGGATATTCGAAAAAATATTATCCAAGGATGAATTTGCAGACATTTGGCAGCGGTTGATGGTGGACAATGGGAATCAGGATCAGGAGCATATGGCATCAGTTACCCAGTTTCGTGCCGAGATGCTCAAAAAAAGAGTTGTCTCCTCTTAAAATATTACCCATTCCTTTAGATATCATTATCACCTGTTTACGCAATTAAAAATAAAAAAGAAAGCTGTGCCGAAAAAAAAAGAAATTATAATTTTTTAATATGTATAATTTAACAGCAGAAGGATACAAAGACAAAAGTGGTTATTTTCTACAATTTAAACTTTTAGCAGCATTTAATCAATTAAAAACAAGATGGATATTTCATACATTTTGTATACAAAATAAACTTTTTACCAATCAAAATATCCCAACACATTGGGCAATCAAAGTGTGCCCATTCAGATATTGTAAACCCTGTATATAACATATATTACAACACCCTGACAAGATCGAAACAACAGAAATGGCAAACGTGGGTCGTTACATAGAAAGAAATCCCGATATGCGGGCTGCAGGACTAACCTCGTTTGAGAAGTCAGGAGGGGAATTATATGGCAGCAAGGAGTGCTTTATGATCGTGAACTTGGAGGAGGAGGCGGAGAACCGTATAAGGGCACTTTGTCGGCAGCACAAGGCCAAACCTTATGGAAAACGAACGCCCAAGATTCCCACTGACAAGATGGGTGATATTTTCGGCAATCAGGATAAGGGCCTGTTCGCCGAGTTCCAGGAGAAGTTTCGCGAGAACATGTTTTTCAAAAAGCCTCTTCTGGGCCAGGCCACGGAAAGCAACTCCAAGCCGGATTCTGTCACAAATCTAAGCCGTACCTTCGGCCAAGCCTCCGATCCTGAAGAGTCCCTCTACTCAGTGGTAATGCCACCCAAGTCTGCCGAGCAAGTCAATCGGGAGTATGGCGAGTTCCACGACAAACACATCATCAGTCACAATCACTACTTCCCCTCGGAACAGATCAATCGTCGGTTGGTTCAGCAATTCACTTAAAGAGCCAATTTCTCAATGTCTTGTTAAGTTTTGACTTTGGGTTAAATTACTGTTTCGGAAACATTTACTTTCTTAAAATCTTATCGTCGATTGGTTTAGCAGTTCAATTTAAGACCCAATTTCTCAATGTCTTGTACATTTGGTTAAATTACTGTTTCGGAAATCTTTACTTTCTTAATATCATGTTTTATTAAAAATATATGTTATATCTAATTACAAAAATTCTTCCGAATTTCCGTACGATTAGTGCGACAAAAACTAACTTCACTTTTAGAACATTAATTAATTAATTTGTATTCCCGAACCATTTGTCTCCATCTTAACTTTCTCTGACGAAAGACTCTACCCCTTAACATGGCACTGAGAAACGGGCCAAAAGTATTTTTAAATTTTACCAGCTTATTTTCGAACTAGATATTCATCGCACTTTAATCGGCTAAATACTTTCGGCATGCCATTCTATGTTGATCATACCGGAATTAAGGTAAAACGCTGCTTGCAGGAAGGCGAGGAGCATCTGATAATAGTCAAAAAGCCGCAGATGGATTTGGACGATCGCACCAAAGGTCCGTTGGGCAAGAAGTACAAGTGAGTAATAAATATAATTCATAAGATTATTAAAAAAAACAAAACCCATTTCAGATGGTATCCATATCAGATCCCGGAGAATATGACCTTTGGCCGCACAATGCCCCGTGAAACAGACATGCGATCGTTGCTGGAAAACACTTCGCCCTCCATTTTATCCGAGAAATTGGCCAGTGCAATCAGCCACTTGAATATGTTGCGCAAAATGCTCCAGGAGCGGGACGACTTCAATATGAACCAGGTTATCGTGGCGCTGGAGAAGAAGGATAAAGAGGGCAATCGCCAGCTTCCATTGACCGAGATCATTCATGTGATGCGCAAATTGAACATTCCGGCGGATGCGGAGAAAATCCGAACAGCCGTCTCACATTTTAGGTTAATCGTCGACGAGGGCTGCTGCTCGGAAAGTGTGAAGTATGAGGACTTGTGCCAACTCCTCTCGATTCTGAAGTCCCTGCCAATGATCGGATCCATCTCGCCCATGCCAAAGGCGATCTACAACCAGGATACCGCCTATCGCCAGTTGTGTGCTGATTTGTTGAAGAAACCCCCCGAGGGTCCAAGCTTCATCCATCCCCACAAGTCACCCGTCCAGAAGGATCTTGATGACACACATGTCAAGGACGTTCTGAACCCGGACTTACCCACCTTATGTGGTTTATGGCCCAGTGATTTCAATGTGATGCGCTGCAGGGATGAAATAGAACGAATATTCCAGGGCATTGTCTCCAAAGATGATTTTGAAAGGATCTGGTTGAGCCTAACAGCTGAGCAGAAGGATCAAAATGAAATGGCATCCGTTGCACAATTCCGTGCTGAAATGAAGAAGATAACCCAGTAATGGTTCAAATTTACGTTAGATGAGAAGCTAACTAATTTGCAAGGTTTTCTTACTACAATGAATATTGATTTGCTATTTAAATTTAGAAGCGGTTTATGTATATAAATATATATATAGGTATTTTTCCACAGTCATTAATAATTAATTTGCACCTTTTACATTTTTTCCTAATAAGCATATTAAGAAAATAAAAATAACGCTAAGGATATGACTATAAAAATGTCACTAATAATAAATTAAACAAATGCCATGCGTTTTTTCTAGTTTTTTGCTAATAACCCTATTAAGAAGATATATATATGCAAGGATAGGGATAAGATATACATCATTTATTTTATTTTCTTGCGATCAGAATTCGTGAAGAATATTTTTTATTGTTTGGAAAACACAAATATTTCTTAGCTGTACAGGTGTAGTTTTTTTTTTTTTTTTTTTTTTGTCAATGCCGCTTTTGTATTTAAGGAGTTTAACCGCTTCTGCGGCTTCTAGTGTTTCTACGGCTGCCTCTTCTGCTACGGGTGCTACGGTTGCCACTGCTTCTACGGCTGCTACTGCTGCTTTTATCTTTTACACGGGTGTGTCCGTGTTTTATTACTTTTACACCGGCCGCGTTTATTGTGTTATGGTGTCTCCTTATATGCATCTTTTTGTCAGTGCTTGCATCCGTGGTCGTGGTGGTGGTGGTGGAGGCGGTGGTTGTGCTGGTGGTGGTTTCGGTGGTAGTGGTTGTGGTGGCTGCCTCCGTCGTGGCTGTGGTTGTGCCAGTTGCTGCACTGGTCTGGTCCACCAGGACGAACGCCACGGTGGCCAAAAGGAGCAGGGCACAGGTGAGCTTCATACTGATGGTTGGATTGTGAATGCGACCAACTGATGCTGTTCTGGTGTTTTGGCCGCACTATTTATACCCATTTCGGTGGTGTTACCAAACACCTGAAGTCGGTTCAAAAAGTCTGCTTATTCCGTATCAGCAAACAAACAAAATTCGCGAAAAATTAAATGTGCGAGACGCAATTGTTTAAGCAAAAATAAATTATTATTATACCTGTTAGTTTGCGTACTTTCTTAATAGTGTTTGCGTTTATTCAAAGACACATATGTTAGCAGTCATGTGACAAAGAGTTTCCTCCTTGTCAATGAAAATTTTCCTTTATTCGCTGTTGGATGTGCCAGTGCACTATGGGGTAAATGACCACTTTATCTGGCATTTAGGCACTTTTTAATAATGTTCCAATTGGAATAAAATTAGTGCCAACATATTAAGAAAACATAACACTATTATGTCTCAAACGGTGTGGGTGGTATCTTTTTAATCTTCTTTTTCTCGGTCTCCATAACAGCCATTTATGTTATAAAATTGACAAAAAGTCGACCCAAAAATTCAAACCAAGATTTAAGCGCAGATTTTCAGAGAATTAATTCACAATTATTTAGAATTAAGCCATTTTAAAATAGGATTTCTGTAAGAAAAGTTATGATTTTAGAAGTGCAGTTTTTTGAGACTTTTCTACAAAGCCCTTTATCGAATATTTGAAAAGAGGTTAGTCTATAAAAATGGGGTTACACCATAAAAATGATGACAAATCGACCCAAAAATAGAAACCAAGATGTAAAAACAGAGTTTTAGAATTAAGCACAATCATTAAGAAGTTATGGGCTTAGAAGTGAAGTTTTTAGAAACTTTTCTGCAAAGACATTTTTCGAAAATTTGTTAGGAGTTAGATCACGAAAATAAAATAAAACCGTTGTATCTAAAGGTTACATGGTAATTTTTATGTAAATTAGTTTATATTCTCCGCAAATATTAATAAGGAATAATACAAAAATATATAATATTATTAGACTAAGGTCGTTTATTGTCAGTTTAGTTTATAAAACTATGTTATAGATTTTTACCCATCGACATTTTTTACATTAATTATCATCAACGAATTGATTATTATCAGGATGATATTCTGCGTGTTGTTTAGAGTAGCGCATTGTAAAGGGGATAGCAAAAATGGCTTATCCGATCTTACTAAAAGGAAAGAATAAAAATGCCTTGATATTTTTGATATATTTATTTTATAATAAAAATCTGGATTGCTCTTAGTTCTTTCTGCGGGTCACTATGACGACGGTCTTGTGGCACCTCTTTGGGTGCTTGCACTTCCTTTTGGGGATGCGCGTGTGGCACCAGTTGTTGCCCTTCCAACATGTCTTCTTGTGGGTGGACTTTTTTGTTGTTGTAGTGGTTGCAGATGAGGATGTTGTTGTTGTTGTTGTTGCCGCGGTGGTTGTTGTAGTGGTAGTGGCATCAGTTGTGGTAGAAGTTGCAGAGTAGGCCAATTGAATGGACAAGGCAATAAGGGCGACCACGAAAAGGAACTTCATCTTGTATGATTTGGGAATCCTTGGGAACTACTGTTGAAACCAAATGGAAAAGAAGCGAAACCTTTTCAAAGTGGGTATATTGAATGTTGTGATTAACAAGACTAGATACAGGCACTTTTATAGGTGAATTCCACTTCAGTCATTTTCCTTGTTTGTTGTATATGTACTCATTTGGCAAATACTAATTGGGAAAATCATTTCCTTGCTGTATAGAAAAAAAATTTAATTAACAATACGATAGTGGGAAGTGAAGTATTTGCAAAACGTTGTGGTTTACTGACATGTAAAAACAGCTGCTTAAACTCAAGAAAACACTTTAAGATTTATATTTACTTAACACGATTTAAGGCAGAAGCTAAAAATTAAGTAAACAAATCTAATAACAATAGGCAAAATTCACAATTCATTATTTCAATATTGACGTGATTTCCATAACAAAAGTGAAGGCTACATGGTAAACAATGATTTTTATGTCAATTAACTATGTATAAAAAAAATTGGATTACAAAAGGTTAAGATGCTAACTTTATTAGACTATGGTAGTTTTAAGTCAATTTGGTTTATATAACTAAGTTGTAGATTCTCAAGAACGAAAAATTAGTTTTCAAATATTTTATACAACATTGGCTTATAATATGTGATATCCAACAAACTCAAACCATCAAAAATGTATAAACAAAAATAGTTTAATGACATTTTGAAATTATATGATTTACTTAAATATTAACTCAAAATAGTTGCGAATCTATAGATTGAACCAATAGCTTAGAAATTTTATCACTCATCAATTTTTTAATTACTTTTTTAATGATTAGCGATTTGATCATTATCAGGATGATATTCTGCATGTTGTCAAGAGTAGCCAACACTAAAAGTAATAGCAAAAATGGCTAATCCGATCTTATTAAAAGTAAAGAATAAAAATGGCTTGATATTTTTTTTTTTTTTTTTTTTTTTTTTATTATTTGATTAGCGCACTGCTACTCAATTGGCAACTTAATCTAATCAGTCTTTAATATAATCGGTTTCATTGGGTCTTCTTTGTTGCTTAAGACTAATAATTTAACCTAGACATTTTAGGGAGAAATATTGCTGTTGTTGTTATTGATGATGTTTAGGTCAAAACCCGGTTAGGTAGGTCTTGAGGGTGGTGTCGCTTTAGTCTTCTTTTGACTCTTGTTCGAGGGTCAGCGTTATTAATGGCAGCAGTTCCAAGTTTCCTGGCTAGGCTGTTGGGGTGCTCATTTAACCTTTCCATGTACTTCCGAGCAAGTTCCTGCAGCTTGTCTCCAAGTTTGGGCACATTGAGATCACGTTCGATGTCACTGGTTCGCATAAACCACGGAGCTCCAGAGATCCTTCGAAGTGTTTTCGCTTGCAGAACCCGGATTTTGTTGAGGTTGGTTTTTGCAGCGATGCCATAAACCTGGAGTCCATAGAAAAGAGTTGGCGCTAATATGGATTTATAAATTTGGACCTTACAGCCAAGTGCGAGCTTGTTGCGTGGTGCGAGAAGCCAAGCCATCCGAGAAACTTTGGTCCTGTAAGAGTGTTGGATACAAGTAATGTGCCTGCCAAATGTTAGTTTTTTGTCCAAAGTGACACCAAGGTACTTGTATGCAGGAAGGGCTCTGATTGGACTTCCGTTGAGGCTGACTCCAGGGCAGCTACTTCGACAATTGGTGAACGTTACATTGGCACATTTGTCTGCGTTTACTCGAATGTTCCAGTTCATGGCCCATTGGTGAAATGCGTCCAGATATTGTTGCAATGCAAATGTGGCAGCCAATATACTTTTGCTTTTTGTCAGGACAGCAGTGTCATCGGCGTAGGTCGCAATTAGCACGTTTTGTTCAGCAACTTCAGTGATTGGAGATTGTGTAGGCATATCTGAAGCATAAATACTGTAGAGAGTAGGGCCGAGGACGCTACCTTGGGGAACTCCGGCAGAGATCGGTTTGGTTGACGACTTGTACCCATCAGCAGATACGTGGAAAGTGCGTTCTTCCAGGAAGCTTTTCACGAGCTGGAACAGCTGTGGCGTAAAAAGACTTTTGGCTTTGTACAGGAGCCCAGGGTGCCACACTCTGTCAAAGGCCTGCTGGATGTCAAGGAAGGCAGCAACTGCATGCTCCTGCTTCTCTAGGGCTTCTAAAGCAAAATTGACAACTCTGTGCAATTGCTCAGGAGTTCCATGTTGAAGACGAAAGCCGAACTGAAATTCCGGGATCGCACTGGTGACATTCTCGTAAGTGAGCAGCCTATTCAGGATCAGCCTTTCCATGATTTTTCCCAGGCCTGGTAGAAGACTAATGGGCCTGTATGAGTCCACGTCAGTCGGCGATTTACCTGGTTTTGGGATCATGATTATACTCGCCGATTTCCAAACTTTCGGGAAGTATCCAAGAGTTAGTATGCTGTTGAATAATGACACCAGGAATTGCAAGGCTTGATCCGGTAAAAGTCGAATCGTTCTGTTGTCGAGCAGGTCTTCACCGGGAGTTTTCTTCGGTGAAAGTTTAGCTACAAGGTCTTTAACCTCTGTCAGTGTGACAGGGCTAGCAGGCAGGCTCATTTGAAATGGAGATTCTAGAAACTCATCAACTTGTCGACGTATGCTTTCAGGTGAATAGTCGTAAGGCTTGAAACGTTGCTCGAGGTTGTTAGCGAACGCTTCAGCTTTCTCTAGGCTCGTACGGCACCAGCCACCTGAGGGATTCTTAATTGCTGACTTTGGGGTGGGCTGAGCCTTGTACCGTTTTGTGATACGCCACAACGAGTAGTTGGAACTAGCGTCTGTGCCCAGATTCTCCAAAAAGCTGTCAATAGATTCTTGTTTTCTTCGGGCGAGCGCCTTGCTTAGACAGTTAGCAAGCCGTTTATGTATCTGATGCATTCGAGCGTCTCCCGTTCTTGCATATTCTCTTCTTACTCTTCGCTTTAGGTTGAGAAGTGCCGCAATTCTGTGTGGTAGCTGGAGATGTCTAGAGGTCTCTGTATTTTGGCGATTCCCAGGTGCAGCTATCTCAGCAGCCTGGTTTATCATGCGCATGAAAAGGCTGATGGCATTGTCAATGTCAGAAGGTTCCTGGGCTTCTATGTTAACCTCGCTCAGCTGCTCTAGGTAGGCTTTGAATGCATTTGTATTAGCACCTCTGGGAAGGAGTTGCGTGCGCTGTGGTTTTTTCACTGGTGTGGCATGCAATCTGGCCAGGATTGGAGTGTGGTCCGAGGAGAGTTCATGGAGAGTTTTTACTTCTAGCCTGTTTATAGCGTATCCGTTGATTATGAAAAAATCAAGCGCTGTCGGTGTTATCAGGGGGTTGTATGAGTAAAAATGTGGGTTCACCTGTGGCAAGTACTTGGTAATGCCCATTTGCAATGACATCTTGCAACTGTTTACCCCTTCTACAGGCTCTTGAGTTTCCCCACCATGCATGTTTGGCATTATAGTCACCGCCAGCAATAAATTTGCTTCCAAGTCCGGCCAGCAAGGACTCAAATTCTGATTGGATCCATCTTTCTGCTGGAGGTAGATATATAGCTGCTAATGTTACATTTCCGTCTGCAGTCTGTAATTGAATGCTCGCTATCTGCCTGTCATTGCTAGAGGCGGCGGGCAAGGGATTATGGCTTAGGGAATCCTTTATAATGACTGCAGAGCCACCTTTGCTGTTGCCACTAGGGTGATAAGCATGGTATATAAGATAGCCTGGCAAGTAGATGCGCTGACCATCGCGCATGTGAGTTTCTGTGGCAAGCATTACATCTATGTTATGATCGCTGAGGAATATTCGAAGCTCTTCAGATACTCTGACTAATCCACGAGCGTTCCACAATCCGATATTTAATTCTGATTGAATCATTTCGGCAATCGCGCAATGAGAACGTGAACCAGCTCTCTGAAAGCCTTGTTGGACTCAGCATTTTCCTGCATCAGCTTAAATAAAGTGTCCAGTTTGCTATTAATGTCGCGGATGGCATTATCTAACGCTGTGAATTTAAGGGTGAGCCTAGGGTCTGAAGGAGAGCTTGCGTCACTCTGCGAGGTTGAGCCAGTCCTTGCTTGCATATCCTTGGGTCGAGCTATATCAGCATACGATATATTCGTTCTTAATGCCTGAGCTGGTATGAATCCACGCGATACGCGTCCTGGATCATTTGTTACCGGGAGTCTAGGCCTCGGCTTTTGTTTTTTATTTTTTTCTAATCTGACCGGGCAATCTTTATCTGTCGAGACGTGGTTACCGCCACAGTTTACGCACAAGCATGTATCGCTTACACAGAGTGTGGAACCAGTAACATGAGAACCACTACATTTACCACAAACAGGGTCCTGAACACAGTAGTTTTTAGAATGTCCAAAAATTTGGCATCTTTGACATTGAAGTAATTCTTTTCTACGGGGTGCACGCTCGACAGTGACTCTGTATCTCCCGAGTTGCGTAATTTTTAGGGACTCTGCGACGTTTGCACCCTGCTTAAGGTTGATATAAAACATATTCTGCCTAGTTTTATAATTTACTGTAGCTTCATTATCATCTTCGTTCACCTGGATGTTCTTCCAATCAGTCTTTTTGGGGCAGTATATGTTAAGGACCTCAAAGCCGAATTCAGTAAATCCCTGTGTTATTTGAGATTTCGGAACGTTTGTATGGAGTCCTTTCAGAACTACTCTGTAGGCCTTGTCTTCTTTTAACTGATGGTGCCAAAATTTACACTTAAGAGTTGTCAGTGTTTTTACAGCTAGCCGAAAAGCGTCTGAGTTGGCTGTATATATTCTGGATACACCAAATTTGGAAGTGCGGATGTTGTAGTTTTTGGAGCCAATGCTAAGGTCAAGAGATTGTTCCAATAAGACCGGATCGCTTACGTTCGGTACACAAATAGCAGGGATCTTGTTAGATTTTGTAGGCTGTCTATCTCCATTGGGGGCATCAGACTCATCATTGTCATCCAACATGTCTTGCTCCATACTTTCCGCTTCAGCAGCCAGAATCGCAAAGCGATTGTTTCCGAATGTCGGTGCAGCGGAAGTAGAGGCCGCCTCATTGGGAGTCGCAGTGGCCTGCCGTTTAGTTTTGCGAATCGGAGGAGGAGACAGGACAGGTAAAGGGGAGTTAGTCACTCCTTTGCGTTTCCTATTAATACTCCGATTGTCTGCTTGAAAGATGCATTTTGTTAAATTATTGTCAGACATAGTTGGGTAAATGCTAGGTGCCACGATTGCAGACCCAGTGTATGTTGGAGTACAGACCAAGCTTGCCTGGACGTTGGAGATGGTGCAGGTTACACTTGTAGTGGCGTTGCTGCTGATTGTCACCAACGAGGAGGTCGTTGCTTGTGTTGGCATACCTGCGAGTAAAGCAGTTACATCTGTACGCTTAGCGCGGAGCTGGCAGCGTATTTCTTCAGGGTCTGCATCAGCTACTTTCCTCATCTCCTCAAACTTATCACATCCATTACTGGGGCGCAATTGAGCAGGTAAATTCTCCATTATATCGGACGATGTAAGTCTGAGAGACAGGTCGATGACAACCTCTCGCTCGCGCAGACGCGCAGGGCGAGGGGCAAAGCACAAAACAGCTTAAAACTTGCTTATTGTTATAAGAATCGCGATAAAATACCGTCACCGCTCAGCAGTGACTGCAGATAAACTTCGTGTGCAAGAAAAGCCCACGAGCCAAGAAGATGTTTAAAAAACACAAAATATAATTTAGGAGCTACACGTGGATTTCTACCAAGCTGATTGCCATTCACAACGAAACTGTTTGATATTTTTGATATATTTATTTCATAATAAACATCTGGATTGCTCTTAGTTCTTTCTGCGGGTCACTATCACGACGGTCTTGTGGCACCTCTTTGGGTGCTTGCATTTCCTTTTGGGGATGTGCGTGTGGCACCAGTTGTTGCCCTTCCAGCATCTCTTCTTGTGGGTGGACTTTTCTGTTGTTGTTGTAGTGGTTGTTGCCGCAGTGGTTGTTGTAGTGGTAGTGGCATCAGTAGTGGTAGAAGTTGCAGAGTAGGCCAACTGAATGGACAACGCAATAAGGGCGACCACGAAGAGGTACTTCATTTTGTATGCTGTTGGAGCTTACTAGACAATTAAAGTTAAACTGGATCGAAAAGCTGTGATCGAGTGTTGTGATTGACTGAAGTTGGTGTTGCCCCATTTATAGCTCACTAGTAGTTTCCGGATTAGTTTGGTTTATCTTGAAATCTGTCTATTTGACAAACAATTACTTAAGTGAATTCCTCTATTGTCTTAAAAATGATAATAAACGTGAATCAATACTCGGAATTCAACTAAAGGTAAATATTTGTCACCCACAAATATCCGCCCAAAGATATGCTACATTTTTTCTAGCAGACGTGATAATAAAACTCCGCATAACTAGGTTATTCAGTGACGCTGGATATTTGTATTTTTAATATATTCATATTTACATTCGATATGCTTGTTATTGGTTTATTTTGTATTTTTGATTTTGAACTATGTAACTTACATTTTTTACTTAAATGATTTAAGAAAAATATTCTTTAAGTCGATTGACCGGTTATTATTATCGGATTGTTTTATTGACCTCTATCATATTTCAGCCTGTATTTGAGGTATATTTGTTTTAAATTATTTTGCTTGTATTTTTATAACCGTTTAGCTGTATAGTGATGTACCAGAGTATTATGGCCCATACTTTATTTATAATGCTTCTATATAACAGTTGTATTACGCATCTCGGTATGAAATTGACTGACGGATGCCATTTCACTCTGGTCCCTGTGCTCAACCATCAGTCTGTGCCAAATATCCTCGAATTTATCCATTGGAACGAGTCTCCTGAAGATCCGTTCGATTTCCACCTTGGGCCGCAAACGGCTAAAATCACTGGTTTTGAGGCCACGTAAAATGGCCAATTCCGGTGAAACGAGGTCCTTAACACACGTTTTATCCTCTTCGAACTGCTGATTTTTTATCACATCAACCTCCTTGGGTTTCTTATGGCGATCGGCGCAGAGTAAACGATAAGTGGTGTCCAGGCAACTTGCAACGGAAACTGTGTCCAAATTTCCTGTTTTGGGGAGTGGCTCCTGAATGGAAAGAAGTCGGCAGAAATCAGCGTAATTTACACGCTCCGTGGAACAACCCTCATCAATGATCATATGAAAATGGGACAGCGCCACACACATTTTCTGGGAATCCAAACGGATGTGGAAGTTGCCGATAATTTCAAGGATTCGGGACAGTGGCAGATAGCCCGTTTGATGATCACTTCGCTCCAGCATGGAGATCAGTTCATAGAAATCGAGACATTTCCTCAGACTTTGGCGCTTTTTGTTCAAATAGCTGATGGCATCTATGAGCCGATTGGACTTTTCGCAGGGAACTATATTATTAAGCAACATCTTTACATCGCCACTGCTTCGCAAAGGGACGCCAAAAGTTATGTCGGGAACCTCACAAGGATACCTATTGTATATAAAAGTTTATCAAAGTTAATTAATTTTAAACCTCATTTCCTTTCACATAAAAAGGCTTTGCTATTAAGCAAAGCACCTTACAATATTACTGTCTCTCTGAATTCTTACTTTTTGAATTTCGTTCCCAAGGGAGCTTCTGTCCGATTCATAAAATCAACTTGAGACTTGCCAATAACCTTCAGATGATTTTCACCCTCTTCAAGACAGCGTTTCACATTGAGTCCAAAGTCGCCGGTGCTGTGAATATATCCACATGGCGATTTTCGATCAAATGGTTGGGTATATCTGAAGAAAAAGGCTTACAAAGTTATTTGCATTATACTAAAATTAAGAGGTAAATAAAATAAAAAACTAATTAAAAACTATGTACCATCTAAGATGATCTTATAGAAACAGTTACAAATTGAGTTTATATTGAAAATATAAATAGTAGTTAAAAGAATAATACAATTAGTCGACCTACTTGCGATTGATCTGCTCCGAAGGGAAGTAGTGATTGTGGCTTATGATGTGCTTGTCGTGGAACTCCTGGTACTCCTTATTCACCTGATCCGTGGACTTCGGCGGAAATATGATTGTGTAGAGGGATTCGGAGGGTGTCGCATTCGACGGACGTCCGAAGGTCTGGCTCGAATTGGTCACGTTGTCCGGCTTGGAGTAAGTTGGCTTGATCTGACCCAAGTTCGGCTCCTTGAAGTACATCTCCTCGTAGAACTTCTCCTTAAAGGACATGAAGCGAGACTTCTGCAGCTCGCTGGTCAGCAAATCTCGGAGGCTGTTGCTGGGAATCACCGACATAGCAGGAAGACTATTGGATTTGCTCCTATCCTGTTGGCACTTGGCACGTACCGCACTCTCGGCCAACTCCTCCGCGTTGTTGACGATCAGGCAATCCCTCACATCTCCCTCTTCATGTAATCCGATGGTGGACACTCCTGCGGCCCGAATATCTACGTTTCTGTCTATAAAGTGTCCCCTGTTGGCCATGTTTAATGTGTGTATGTGGTGTGGTTTTCAGTGTTTACTGTGTGCTTATAAACCTAAAAATGACAAGTAAAATTTCGCCAGATTTGTGTTTTTTTTTTAACAATATATCTTTTAAATGAACCAGGTAAGCAAAGTAACAATTACGTTAGTATTTAAAACAGATTTTAAAAAAAAATGTTATTTGGAATTCAAAATAAAACAATTCTTTTAGTCACTGTAAATTAAATAAGATAAGATATTTGATTTTCGTTGCCTTTCCAAATCCGTTCCCAAAACTGATGATTCAAACTCGCATTTACTTTTAAATAATAAATAATTTTTGTAATCGGTCTTGCGAATGAGTATGTTTACATTTCAAATAATTTATGGCTTAGCACTAGTTCAACTTTAGCTAGGTCTTTTAGTCTATTGTACATCATTGCACGTCTCTCTGGCCGCGGAGATGGCATCTGTTATCTTCAGTGCAGGAGATGATTCTTATGCAGGACAAAGTCCCAGGTGTCCTTCCATCTCAGACTCCGCACCTCACTTGTGCTCATCTTTCGCGCTCCATAACTCAATGGTATGAACTTGGAGAAAATGCTGAGCACGGCCACTACCCAAAAGATAAGCAGAAGGCGGTACAGGCGCACCAGGTGAACACCATGGCCGGTGCAGTAGCGCCTTAGCAGGTAGTCCAGGTGCTCCACAACGAAACACAAAAGGAGTAACTTAAACACAAAGGCTGGCAAGTAGTTGTGCAGGAAGAGTGTGCGATCCACAAAGAAGTACGGCAGGTAGTGTATCAGGTAGCCCACGAAGAAGGTGTCGCCGGCGATCAGGAATCGCTGCCACTCCTGCTCGGAAATATCGAAGCAATGACGTTGACGGCGTGCGGCGTAAAATGCGAGTAAGACGGCGTAGACGAGTATTCCTGCAGTGGCCGTGTACCAGATGAGTACGTTACCCAGCAAATAAATCTGCGCACTGGACTCCGAGTCCAGCCAGTAGGCAATGCCCTTGTCCATCAGCGGCCACTCGTGCGGCATCGAGCTGTACATGTGACTTGGCACCGATTTGGTTTGGAACAGCATCTTGGACTGCAACTCCATTAACTTGGCCCAGAACGAAAGGCGTGTTCGCTTGGTGGGTATCATTTCGGCGGTCAACAGCTGGCGCTCTCGTTCACGATGGTCTTCAGCTATTAAAGATTGAGAAACCAATTAACTAATTTAATAACAATTTCCCAGGACTGCTTACTCTGTGTATAGCGGTGCTCTTCGACATTCCAGATGGTGTCCTCGCTAGCTCCCCGCTCACGATCCGCCACCACCTCGTGCTGATTGAAGCCCCAATCCGGTAATTGACGACCGCTGAACTTCAGGGTTGCTCCCGTGGACTCGTGAACTAGCCGAATCTCCGACTTGATGGCATGCCAGCTGTCTCCCTCGGAATCGCGATTCAGGATCTCGACGCGCCACAATAGCTCACCGGCCATCTTGATCTCGTAGTCTATGTAGCAGCTGACCTCCTGGCATTGCGGCGTCATCGCGGCAGCCACATCATGCGAATTCAGTGCTCGGCTGGTGATCCCATGCACCAATTGGATGATGTCGCCGTGCCGAATTACATCCGGATGATCTCCCACCACCAGGTTTTCCTTTGTCGGTCGCTTCACCAGCCACCAGTTGTTCACATCCTTGAAGGAGTAGCAGGTGACCTGCTGCTGGTGGGAGGAGCCCCTCTTGTCCGGGTAGCGCACCGGATAAACGGCTGCATGCGAGTGCAGCCAGCAGGTGCGTCCGTGTGTGTGACGCAGTGTAATCTGGGATCCATGGACCACCGCCAATGGTTGTCCCCGTGTGATCGATGCCAGTCCACCTTCCAGCGAAGCCTGGAACGCACTGGTCATGATGCTGTCATGCGGTCCAGCGCGATGCAGAGTCCGAAAGTGGATGTAGAAGACTCCTACGTAGACGGCCAATGGAATCCCAGCAAAGATAAGCAAGCGACTTAGGGCGTGCATCCACAGCTGGCGATCTGCAAAGAGGAAAAACATTTTAGTTTCTTAAAACAATCGTAATGATTTAACAAATTAAAAAAATATATATATCGAAGACCATTTATAAACTGAAACATGATACAAATTTAACTCAAACAGTATACTTAAAAGTTGTATTCGACAAAAGGTTTTAAAATCATTAACATTTATTTTTGTAACTTGAATTTCAAAATAAAAAATATTTTAGATTTGTGCGAAGAACCGATAAAACATTGAAATTTTTTACATTATATTTTGCAATAAAAGTTTGTATTTATTCTAAAGAAAAATCGAAGTAATTTAAAGAACTTTAAAAAAGACAAGAGGTATTTCAGTTTCATATTAGGTATACGCCACGGTAACAGAACGAATAATTTCTGAATTTCTGTAATACTTTTAAAACATATTTAAAATAATTTGATGCAATGGACATCTTACTAGTGAGAGTCGCGTCGTAAAGCAGCTGCCACAGGTGTCGACATAACATATAGAAAGCGAGGCCGAGCGCCAGGAATCCAATGTACTTGACCGTTCCGGCGGCGCCCAAGAATACGGCCGCCGCTGATCCATTGATCAGCCATTCGAGGCTGCCCAGGCGACACCGCTGGAACCGAAGCAGACAGGCGATTCCCAAAGTGCTGGCCAGCAAAAGCATCGATTCCATGAGCACGAAACGGGATTGGGTCAATAGGGAGTTATCTAGCACGACGAGCAGACCACCCAGGGCGGACGACCATCGACTCAGCTTCGCCTCCAACAGCAGCTTGTAAACTGCGGGAGCCAATAGACTTCCGCACATGGCAGGTACAAATCGAAACCAGAAGATGGGCATGTCCGGCGCATAGGGCTCTCCAATCCTAGAGAAAGTATAGTTTCCATCGTAGCCAGCCAGGCTGACCAGACCGGCGATTAGCTGTTTCCCCAGCGGCGGATGTTGATCGAAGAAAAAGATGTTGCGCATGTACATCGAAATGTACTTGCCGTAGTGGAGTTCATCGAAACTGTACGGTAAAAATAATTGTTGTTAAGCATTTATGTGATAATATACATATATTCTATTTACAATAATTAACATCTAAAATTAAGCTTTACGTCTTAATCATTATCCAAATTGCTGTGCCTCAAACTTTCAGTTTCTATAAGTTTTTTTGTAGGACGGTTGGGAGTGGTAAATTACACACAAAAAGTGACTAATCAAATTAAAATGTAGTTATGTAATAAAACTATTTCTGGATTGATTTTTGTGCTTACAAGTAATGTTAAACATAGCTTTTGAACAAAATGCTTCTGATAAATCGAAATTTGCAGGTAAAATAAATATTTAAAATAAATATTTAAAATATTTAGATATTTGAAGTCAATACCGTCACCATTTAATATAAATTGGCCATTGCCATAAAGTTATTCGAAAACAATAATATACAACAATATTCGCCATGGTCTCAAAGTTACTTTAAATGTTACTCATACGACACGTAATAGGTCAAGGGCAACTGTGCGTATGAGTGATAAACTGAGAGTCGGAATATATTTACTAATTTTATAGTTCGTGGCCTCGACCAGCACCTAATCACAGTTTTTCTATGTGTACTATTATTTTTCCTGACTGGTGACCTCAATTTTGCAGTTCCCGGTTTGTTATTGTTTTTGTACTCACACTATATGCGGCGGTGTTGCCAGCTTGTAGAAACGTGTGCCGAACGCCAAGAGAAAGAGGGCCCAGCTGAAGAGATCGATGCTCAGACTAACGGTAAATGGCGGCAAGGCAGTATTGGTTTTCTCTCTTTGTTCTGCCGCGACGGCGGCTGCTGCGCTGCTCTTGTGTTGCTGTTTGTGACAGGAGAGCGAGCGGGAGCGCGTCGACGAAGGTGAACGAGAGAGAGAGCGCGAACGATCGGAGGTAGGAGTGGGGGAGTCTTGTTTTGGCGTCGCTGCCGGCGTAGGCGTAGGCGTCGCAGTCAGCGTTGGCGTCGGCGTCGAGTGCCGACTAACGCTGCCGCGCAGTGGGGCATTTAAATGGCAATTGACGTCGACGCAGCAATTGAGCAGCGTTAGAGCACCGTTACAGCATAGTGGGGAAGGTGAGTTTCCCAACGCCGAGGCGGTTGTTGTTGCTTTCGAGTTTGTCGATCGGCTGCGAAAGTGAAGTCTTTCGTTTGGCTCGCCGCTCAAATCGCATTGTTGCTGTTGCTTCACTTTAGCCGTCTTGCGGCGCTGAGTAATTGTATTAGTGTAGGTGGCAGACATAGCGGTTCCTCGTTTTTGTTGTTTTTGTTTTTAGCATGGGCTTTTAGCGGGCATTTCTTCCTCGCATTGTTTATTTCCAACCACTTTCACTGATCAATTAGCAATCCTCAATCATGAGATAATACAGCGCTAATCAAGCAATCACTTTTTTTTTTCACTTTTTTTTGTTTTCTTAATTTTGTATTTTGCCACGTTTGCCTGCAAACAAAAAACCTGTTTTGCACTTTCTACACTCCACCTGTCTCGCTCCCAGGCTTCTTAACTGATTTGCATTTACATACAAACGATGGCCAGCTGTTAAAGAAAGTTTCGTTACCGAAATATTCCCACAAACACACACTCACGGAAGTAAAATAACCATCTACCTGGCTTCTTGGCCAAAACCAAAAAACGCAACCTGCACGTTAAAGATCTCGCGACGCACTGACTGAATTGAATGGAATAGACTGAAACTGAATGGAAGTGGATCCGCGATGGCTCTCTTTCTTCTGCGCAGCCGCTGCTGCTGCGCACTGTGGGTCTTTTGTGCAAAATACGTTGCAAAAATTTGATCTGTTTAATAGCTGAATTTATTCACATATATCTAATCTCGGTTAAGGAAACTATTCCTAAAATAAGGCAAAAACCTTATTTTCTATGAAATATTATATATTCTCAGTAAGAAAACGAAAGAATATATTAATGTATATTTGTATTAACATATTTACCAAATCAGAAAACTCTCTCAGATTTGAAAACCAGGTTTGTTTCAAATGATAACATTTTATAATTTAATTTCCTTAATTAAAAAAACTTAAAATATTAAAAAACATATCAGAGTTCGATTTTTGCCATGAGTTTATGGAAAACGATCCACTGTGCAATGACTGCGGAGCCT